CATAATTTTTCAATGCCTTATGAGCCTCATTTTTGCACATCTTGCAGGCAAATTCGAAACGTAATCGGCTATATACATGGCAATGAAGAGCCAGATCGCTATGTGATTCTTGGAAATCACTATGATGCTTGGACATATGGTGCGCTGGATCCCAATTCCGGCACATCCATTCTTGCCGAGGTGGCCAGAGCCATGATGCAAGTGGTGAACGAAACCGGATGGCGCCCAGGTGAGTAAGTGGCCGACCTCCATGCATTTTCTTGAACGACTTTTTACAGCACGATCACTGATGTTTGCTGCCTGGGATGCTGAGGAATATGGCCTCCTCGGTTCGACCGAATTTGTCGAAGACTTCACAGAGCTGCTCACACGAAGAGCAGTGGCTTATTTGAATATGGATTGTCTCCAGGGAAATCAAACCATGTGAGTGGCGCAGCGGTTCAGAGTGATTTTAGGCTGGTGTATTCATGATGCTCTTTAGATTTGTTGAATCTGTGCCTTCGCTCCAGGACCAAGCCATTCAGGCAGCGAAGCACATCAAAAATCCAAGACAAGATGAAAAAGATGTGAACGGAACAACAGTTTTTGACGCTTGGTCGGAAAATATTACCAGCCTTTGGCCGATTTCATATGGTGATGCGATTCAATAGCGTTTCAGGTTGCATTATATGAAAGATACTCGAAATCCAGGTCTTCCCCGAATTCCCACTCCTTCCGGAGGATCTGATCAGAAATCGTTTATGGAATACTTGGGTAAGCAAGTAAAGCAATTCAACCACACGTTGGTTTGGTCTCTGTGATGCCATGCTTGGCCTTCGAATATTGTCTGCTCCTGCTACTATACACTCAGGGTGAATCCTCGGCGGGGGTCCTATTTGTCAGGGTGGGTATGGGGCTCGTACTCTTGGGGGTCAGTAACAAACAAATATATGAAATTACTTTAATCAATTCAATGAAGTTTGCAATTTTGATGATTAAAATAAATTTCTATTGTTATGTGTTATGTGGGGGTAGAACAAAGAGTAGTCTAGTTTCCGTTTCGCACGTGCCCTTAGACTTAGAAATTGACATCATGGTGGATAGGAGGGAGGGTGTAGCGCGGCAGAAAACGAGGAGATGCGAGAAAACTTGATAGTTGATAGAGAGTTGCCAACGAATTAACTTGCAATGGTGAAGAAGGAAGCGACTTTTAAGTGTTCAAAAATCGTCCTCGATAGATCCTCGACGCAAATATCTCCTCAACTAGGAACCTGGAAAGAAGCTAAACAGACTATTAGAAAGCGCAAACCTTCCGCTTTCCAAAACTGTCTGTCGTTTTT